CGAGTTGAAATACCCGGACAGACGAACACACACACACACACACACACACACAAACATACACACATACACACACTGACAGGGTCGTTCCAATATGCGTTTTTGCCGCCTGTTGGCAAAAACGCATAATAAAGCAAAATGAAGGCAAAAAAGGTGGAAAGAAAAAAAAAATATGAGAAGGAAGAAATTTTCAGTACTTTCATCCATACAATGCTTTTACTCGTCCCATCTTTTCGTATTACTTCCCACTAGCTTGGGCTTTCAGCAAAAAATGCGTAGCAATTTGCTAATTAAAAACTGAAGCTCTTTCCAAGTTCAGCCGCATCTCACGTCAAGCTAAACAGGTAAATATATACCGTTTCGTTAACATTTTAAAATTAGTGTTCCAGGATAAGTCTCTTTTTAGGTTTTACTCCTTCCATGCTCCATCAATTTCATTTTATCCGTTTTTTAAGCGTGTAGCATCAAATACAGACCTTGATGTGTGGTGCCATTAGCTCTTGCCATGCATTCAACGTTGCTGTTAGAGCAAGCTTCCGAATAGACCGCGATGAAATTCGCCTTTCCAGCATAGCTGGCCACTCTTTCCAGTAGTTTTGACGTTTAGCCTCTTCTTTTTGCATCGAGCAACGGAACAGAAACAGCATCAGCTTGCAGCTTGCGCACGCATTCATTACTGTCGCATAACGTTTCACTTCGTGCAAGGTACTCGGACACACCGATAAGATCTACAAATTGATTATTTACACATTTTCTTGCTTATGTGATACTTAAAAGCGCCATTGCCTCACCACTGACTACGATATCACTGAAAACTATTCCATTTTTCTTCCTCATTTCATGACAACCATGCAAAATGATCAGTATAGTCTCTCGAAAATATAAAAAAAATCAAAAATGCCAAAATAAATCTAATTAATATGTCTAGAAAAAACCGAAAAATGAAAAACAATAAGTGGAAAAAGTATCATTATGTCTTTCACAAGCAGTAAATAAAACAATAAAGCACATTAGATGTCCAGTAGGCATATACTTTTAGCGAATTTGCTGCGGTGCTTACCCTTTTAACTTCATTACAAAAATAAAAGATGATTTGTTACAAAAATACTTTTAATCAGTTCACCGCACTGAAGTATAAAAGTTCACGACCTGCTCTGTTCTTGAGTTTCATTACTTGCCTGTACTTGATATATGACCACAAAGCAGAAAAACGAGTTTCAAAAGCTTATTTTGAAATTTCCATCTATCTTGAACAAACAAGCAAAAAAATTTTTATTTTCCAGCGTCGTCTATTTAAAAATTACAAAAATTAGACTCCATAAGAAATACTCGGAGTCAACCAAAGCGGTGCTCATAATTTCCATGAAGAGGCGAAATAAAAAAGCATAATGCTATATTTGGCTTAAAAGAGCACTGTCGGATTAGCAATCTGTTTTGATATCTCGGTAAACTTGGTTTTGATATCTCGGAGAACTTGATTTTTTCCCGCAATGACATAGTTCAGTGCACTCTTGTTAGATATATATATATATTTTGCGAACTGGACACTTACGGTCAGCCAAATTTTACTGACTGGACGTCTCAAGTCATTCTTAACCCATTAGCCATCAATACAGGTGATATAATGTCTTGTAAAAAAAATAATTGCGAAAAACATACACCTATAAGCCAGGAGTTCCTTTGCCAGCTACAGAAGAAGAAGGACAAAAAAAATGGGATAAAAATAACTGAAAAATTGCACAGCTGCAAATAAGGCAGAACTCGCTACTTTGCTCATTACTCTGAAGTATATACTGCATCTTTTCAAGGGAAATATAAGTGTCAGTATAGTAATAACCAAATCATCGCGCAGTTCAGTAGCTTCACTCAGCGATTTGCACATGCACAAATCAAACCACTGGTCACTCTTCAAGAGCGTGTTTTGGAAAGAACGTTTAAAACGACACAGCGCATATGCCCAAGATGTCAGCGACGATGTTACAGCCAAATGCAACAGAGTTGTGTTCCTGGAAGAAACAGCAGTAAGAGGTAATGTATAACAGCAAGTATGATCCTTAGGTCTACTGAATTAATGCACATTAACTTAAATACTGGAAATTATTGCTACTTCTAGCTTCTGCATTATATTGAGACCCCCAGACAATCGGTGTAAAGATTCCATGTTGACGAAGTCACTGGATTATTACGTGGAGCAGGAACTGCGTCAGGCGTTCGCTGCATCTGCTGAATATTATACCACGGTCACACTAGTCTCAGTGTTATCATTTAATGACCCAAATTACTAATCAAAATCTTCCACTTTTATTTTTCGCCAAGAGCTGAAAGTACTTGGAAGCAGCTAGGCAGCGGTCAACAATTAAGGCTTCCTCGTCGGATTCGGTAACTCAGTTGGTTTCTACTTTCAGAAGTATTTG